TAGGGAGTCCCTTTGTTAAGTATCACTATTGACCTCAACAAGAAAGATGTACTTTTTCACAGATAGAAAAAAAAGCAGTATACTTAACAGAGGATCTCTCTCGGCATGTCTTTATGGATATAAACTTGGTGCATGCCTCTATCACTGATAAAAAAATTAGCACGTTAGCTCGAGCTGTAATGGAGATATTCAATTTTCTTAAGTGGACATGACTTTTGGGACACCCGGTATGTGTCTTAAACCAAGCAACTACTCTATCATAGGTATACTCACGTCTACGTAGGTATAAAAAATACATTGAAGTAGGATCGATTAAATGAAATTTAATTACTTAAAATAATGTCTGCATATTTAATAAGTACTATCACGCTTCTCGAACGTTGCCTGTTAAGCTCCAGTGTTGATCTTTGCTTTTGTTGTGTACATATTCGTATGTAACGGTTGTGTTCATCTATAAACTACACGTGCATCGAGTGAGGCAATACACTTCGAAGGGCGAAGTAGTTTTATAAAAATTGCACCCAATGATACACACACGGTCTCGTCTTGGATGTGGGTGTGAGGTATGGATGTGGACGTGAATGATAGTAGTAACACCCACACCCACACCCACACCCATCCCACACCCTGTAATCTCTTTCTTTCTTTTTATCTATGTGAACCTAAATATGGCACAAATAAAATTACTATGTTAAAAAAAAATAGAAAGGAAAGTATCATAAAATCTTTTGAGTGTTGGAAGATTTTAATAGCGAAAATGAAATATAAGTATTTTTTTCAATGCAATTTGATCAATTCTATTCAGTCATGATACAATATACTTGTATTAAATATTTTGAAATTTTGAATGGTGAACACATGAGATACACTAAAGTATCTTAATTTTTCAACAACTTAGTCTAGACATACCATAAATATAGTATGTTTCAGATTTATTAAATTGAACATGAAACTCGTAAGTACCGGTGGAAGGTATTTTATATGTGAGTTACAATAAATACGCATCTATTATTACATCATTCTAGTTAAATAAAAACAAAGACATCACATTTTTATGAATATTTCCTATCAGAATTCCAATAAATAATTCCTTTTTTAACGCAACTATTATCAGCTGATTATTTTAACACCTAATTTATGTATATGCATAAAGTTATCTGTATTTTTAATAGCACACTGCAGCATCTGGAATGCAGATGGTACTTTCAAAACAGCTCCGAAATTGTTTTCTCAAGCATATACAATACATGCACACATTCAATTTTCAATGAAACCAATTGTCTTTGCTGCACAACCAGATAAACATGAAGAAACATATGTAACACTTTTGCAAGCACTGGTTGCATATGCACAAACAAATAATGTGATTCTTTCTCCAACTTCTATCTTAATTGATTTTGAATCAGTAACATTCAATGCATTTAAAAAAATCTTTCCAAATGCTAACATTTTGTTTTGTCATTTTCACTTCGCAGAAAACATTATCAAACATTTAAAACAGTTATGTGAGTTTTTTTTTCAAAGCCTCACATTTTTTAAAACTCGATAGTCCCACGTTGTTTATAAATAATATCCATAGATAAACAGTTTTAGATCATAGATCAATATTACTTACTTCACATTTCTTCAAATGGCTGTAAATAATAGTCGCTTTCCATTTAACAATTTTCTATTTTTTGACTTTTTTTATCGAAGAATCATATCTCATATATATATATTGTATCTTATGCGGAACGTTAATCAAAACAAAACGTTGGTAACTTTTTTATTGTTTCCAAGGCGATAATCAGATAAATTTATTTTTCCACAGACGTATTACCTAGGAATCAGGCTAGTTCCCAATATTTATAAGTATCGATCAAAAATCAATCATGTATAAACATTACCTTAAACATCTATTCTGTTGTATTTTCTTTCGAAGACTGACTCTATAACATCTTTCATGCAACTAAATTCCATTCGAATACATTCGCAAACTGTATGGTTTCTTTAATAAAATAAATTGCAGTTGAATAAACTACATATATATGTTATTCTATAAAATCAAATAAAAATAATTTGAAATAAAAAAAAAATAACAAAAGATCAGATGGTATTGGTAAATATAAAGGTAAACTTAAGATGTTATTAAGGATATATTCATACAACAATTTGAGTTCGCTCTAAACAACAAGACTTTAATATCATTGATGAGTCTCTTTAAAAAAAAACTGCATTATTTCATACAAGTTATGTAGTAGAAAATTACACTGTTCTATACTTCTTACCATACAAAACACCTGTCATGTAAATCAAAATGCATTGTTCCACTCGACATATTATTTTATTTAATACAATTATCTATATCGTTTTAATTAGAAGCCTCAGTATAGATTTATCTGAAGAACTAAAAAAAGAAACTGTGAAACGTGAAATCGCCAATATTCTATCATTACCTCTACTACCACCAAACAAAATAATTGCTGCATTTGATGATTCGGCAGACATACTGCAATCCATTAATGCTAATTTTGAAAAATTTCTTAATTATATTGAAAAAACTTATCTTATTAATGCACAATTTAATTCATTAAATTGGAATCATTACACAAATTTATCTGACAGACCAAGAACGAATAATCAGTAAATAAAGAGTGAAAAGAATAATTTTCAAAAGTATTTTTTTTTAATCTTTTTTTATATAGTATTGAAGCCTATCATAGATATTTGAATAGGTATGTTTAATGACACTTTCTTTCATAAAAACAGCATTTTATTTATCATACTATTTGCGAAATATTAAATGGTAAATAAAAATTTTAATCCAATTTGTTTAGTCGCATAATAGCAAAACCAAACATTTGAAAGTGGATCATGCATATTCAAAAAGACGATGAACAAACAATTATTCGATTAGAGCAAGAAAATAAACAAAAAAGACCGACAAGACCAAGAAAGAAGAAAAACATAATGCATGATCTTAGTTTGAATGACTTGAAAAAATGATATGAAAAAAATTTAATAGATATAGGACAATACCAGAAAAAAATTAGAGATATTTCATATGCATACATGAATATTTTTGAAAACACTATGAACAGCTTTGATAACGCATAATAACTTCTAGTGCTAATTGCTTCATTTTTTTTTTGAATTTAAATGTAAGATGATAAAAAGAATTATTTCTTGAGAATATCATATATGTACAATAAAATATAATACAACTTTAAACAATAAACACTTTATCCGTACATTAAAAATAACCATTTACATATCACCTTACTGAAAATTCTTACTCACGATTTTCGAGATCTCCGTTTAAAAAATCAAAACCAAATGTTCTAAAAAAATACTCAATGAATTTGAGCGCAATTCATCTCATTCTATATCTAAATTAATAAAAAACCAGTTATTATGACTGTTGTTGTACAAATAATACAACATCTTTGTCCAAACAAAATCCTTAATCATCATATATCCAATTTAATGAATCAGTTGCCACCATCACATCGTAATAATAAATATATCCTTGTTGGCATAGAAAAAGAAAATAAAACTCGACAATTTTGCTATTTTACCATAGAAGAATTAATAACACTACAATTATAGTCCATCAATCGAACGTACTCTTTATGAAATAATATGTCCAACAGATCTCGTTAAAACGAATATTGATTTTGAATATTACGTAAATAACAATCTTGATATAGAAGATCAATATATAGGAGCAAGTTGTTGTTTAAAAATACTTCACTGTGCACTAAATTTTTTTGATGACATTCATCTCGAAAATAATAATAGCATCGATATTGCTTTACAAAGATTTCTGGTTCTAGAAGCGTAAGCTTCAGTAATATTATCAACTGACTCTTAAAATATCTTTTGATTTTGACTATGAACACAAAGCCAAAAATGTTATCATTTACACCAAATCTTCGTTGTATGATTAAAATCCTCGCACGCTATTATTTTTTTTTTAATTTTAGATCAACTTCACAGAAAATATCGTTTCATTTTATTCATGCTAATCCTACTATTTTATTTCAAAATAATATCACACTAAGCTTCTATATTAAAACTCTGATACATTTCCTGGTACTAGCAGTTATTCGGCACAAATGCTCAGTTTTTAATATTGACTTTGATCAACAAAAATCTACTATATCCAATTTAATTACTTTTGTATCATCATATATTACTACATTACGGACGCATTGCAAAAATTGTTATCTACATACTTCCTACATTAATGTAGCAGAAATAGCACATCTATTAGTATTGAATAAAGAAAACCAATGGACCTTAGCAATTGATTTAAATGTATATTGTAAGAACCAACAATTTCGATTATTTGACTGTGTCAAACGAGGACAAAATAATTTTCTTCTTCAATCTACTCGCTATCCATACAGCAATTCAAAGAATTCGTATTCTGAAATACTAAAGAAGTCAATAGTTACTTATAACATCGAAACGTCTGACTTACAAGTACTTTATCTTGAAAATAGTCAGTTCAAATTTAAAATAAAAATATCAGATAATCCATCTCTACCACCTGAAGATAGTTTTAAAATATTGAATACAATTAATCATCATTTGAACACATGTATTACTCTAACAACCCAACCAAAATTCTTTCACAAGCCAAATGAATTAAATAGTTTACAAACCAACAAAGAAACATATTCAAATCTTACACAATACGAAATACAAAAGTATATACCATTCATTCAAAATCTAATAACATCTGATAACAAACATCAAGGATACATTCAATCGTGTGTTCGTGGTAGCTATGATAATGATCTACTCTTTTTTAACATCCGAGGAAACTATCGATATTGGCCACGAAAAGGTTCCCATCATCAAAGTAATAATATAGCAATTATTATTCACACAAAACGAA